ATTTAGTCAAAATGGCTTGAAGACTTGAATGTAAGACCTGAAGCCGAGAAGAAAATATGGCAGAAAGCTCCCTGACATAGGTCTTGGCAGTGATTTTTTGGGGGTTTGATACCAAAAGCAAAGACAACAAAAGCAAAAATAAACAAATGGGGCGACAAACTAAAAAGGTTCTGTACAGCAAAGGAAACCATCTACAAAGTGAAAAGAAAATCTACTGAATGGAAGAAAATTTTCACAAATCATATATCTGAGAAGAAGCTAATGTCCTAAATATATAAAGAATTTATACAACTCAATAGCAAAAAAACAAACAGTCCAGTTAAAAATAGAGTATCTAAATAGACATTTTTTCCAAAGAAGACATAAAGATGGCCAACAGTTACGTGAAAAAGTGCTTGACATCACTAACTATCAGGCTAATGTAAATCGAACCAACAATGATATATCACCTCACACCTGTTAGAATAGCTATTATCAAATAGATAAGAAATAGCAAGTGTCAGTGAGGACATGAAGAAAAGGAAATTCTTGTACACTGTTGTTGGGAATGTAAATTGGGTAAGCCATACTGACAATAGTGTGGAGGTTCCTCAAAAAAATTAAAAATAGAACTACCATGTGATCCAGCAATTCCACTTTGGGTACTTATCCAAAGAAAACAAAAACATTAACTCATAAAGATATATGCACCCCCAAGTTCATATTACCACTACTTACTATAGCCAAGGCATAAAAACAACTTAAGTGTCCATTGATGGATGAATAGATAAAAAGCGGTCTATATATACAATGGGATATTGGTCAGCCATAAAAAAGAAAGAAGTCTTGCCATTTGCAAAAACATGGATGGACCACGGGGGTTTTATGCAAAGTGAAATAAGTCAGGCAGAGAAAGACAAATACCATATGATCTCACCTATATGCATAATCTAAAACAAATAAATAAATAAACTGAGATCACAAATACAGAGAAAGATTGCTAATTGCCAGAGGCAACGGTGTGGGGATGGGCCAAATAGGTGAAGGAGGTCAAAAGCTACAAACTTCCAGTTATAAAATAAACAAGTCATAAAGATGTAACATACAACATAATGTCTATAGTTAATAACACTGTCTTATATATTCAGAAGTTGCTAGGAGAATAAATATTAAAAGTTCTCATTACAAGAAAAAAATTTATAAATAATATATGTTGACAGATATTAACTAGGCTTACTATAGTTATAATTTCACACCATATGTAAATATCAAATCATTATGTGGTATACATAAAACTAATATAATAGTATATGTCAATTATACTTCAATTAAAAATTAAAACTAAAAACAAACTTAATTTAATTTAATTTTAAAAATTAAGTTACACAACCAATTAGAAAATTGAAGAAAAAATTATGAACAGTGAATGGGGGGAAAATGTAAATAAAACATGTTATTTCAGTCTTAATAGAGATACCAAAAATAACACTGAGACACCACCTATTAGATTAGCAAAAATTCAAAAACCTGACAGTATATATTGCTACCATGGATCTAGGAAGACAGACATTCTCATTCAATACTGAAGGAAATGTGAAATGATACAAACCCTGTGGA